GCAGCGATGACGTGGAGACTGCCTCAAGAACGGCCCGGCTCTACCTCGAAGCGCAGGAAAACGGGCACGACCTGAAGGCGCAGGTTTGGCGGCACAACAACGAGGCAGGACGCAATGTAAGATAGCATAGTTTACCTAAAAATCACTTCAGCTAATCTAACCTTTTCTTAAATTCAGGCAATCAAGGAGACGATGGTCCGCATGTGCAAGTGCCACGGCATCAGTGGCGCCTGCAGCACACAGACCTGCTGGCTGCGCATCAACGACTTCAAGGAGGTGGGCAACTACCTGAAGAAGGCCTACCGAAGGGCGACCAAGGTGGAGGGGGCGGAGAATGAGCTGCAGAGCAGCGGCCGCACTATTGCCGGTGTGCCCAAGTGGAAACTGATCTACTTGCAGGAGTCACCCGAGTACTGTCGCCCGGTGAACACTGCTTCAGTTTCCGGCAGCAACAGCACTCACCAGCAGGCGGCACTGATGATGGGCGTGACCGACGGAGGGGGCACCCTAGGGCGGACCTGTTCAATGGCCAAGGGAAAGGAGGTGAGCAGTGAGGAGCGGAACTCCTGTCGGCGGCTGTGCAAGAAGTGCGGCTACGCAGTGCGGCGGAAGCGCCGGGTGGTGAAGAGCAGCTGCAACTGCAAGTTCCAGTTCTGCTGTGAGGTGAAGTGCCAGCAGTGCACCACCGAGGAGATCACCTACGTCTGCGTGGCCAAGTGAAGGAATCAATTGGCCAGTGTGTGTGCATTTCCGCATCTGTGTGGTGCAGTTCTATTTTAGTCTGTTTGATTAGGAAGGGCATTCCTATGAAATCGAAAGCAAAATGAACTTTTTTGTCTGTAAATAAAAAGAGAGATTTCAATTAATTTGATTGTTATTTGCCTTCCGTTAGCTCTTTCTTTTTCTTTCCCATCAGCGTTCACATTTAATGATCTGTGCGTGGGCCCAGTTCAAACAGCGAACAGTGATGAAATGAGTGAGTGAGTGAGTGCACATGAGCCGCTGACCTCATCAGCTCAGTGAATGGTGTCACAGACGGAGGAGAAGAGAGAGAGATAGAGGGGTATTCCACCAGACTTTTCCCGTCTATAAGTCAGAGTCAGTCTGGCAGCCGTCTCTTGGCCTACAACCAGCGAGTTCACATTGCAGCACCAGAACCCGAATCAGCAGCAGCAGCAGCCACTGCACCTTATATCAGTATAGCGAAGCCTACAGAGACTGGCCGCAGACACATGCGTGGAGAGAGCCTGCCGTACAACGGCGGAATGAAGTGCCGTACAACACATTGTACAACACACACTCAGCTCTGGAGAGTACGGAGAAACAGTGTCGGAGTAAGTGGAAAGGGAAAAGAGAAGAAAGGGAGCTGGTGCTGCTGCTGCTGCTCTGTTTGCTACAGAGTTTCACGGCGGTGTTTCAGCAGCAGCAGAAGAAGCCGTTCGAGTTCAGTTTGTGACCCAATTCCTCCCGTGTGGCAGAGAAAAAGGTCCACAACCGAAGAAGAAGACGATTCAGCAGGGCCGAGCAGGAAATTGTGGGCCAATTGGATCGGTCTGACACTGCAGCAGCAGCAGCACCGTTGTCCGCTCAGTCAGTGCAGCAGCAGCGGCAGTAGCGACAATCCTTCATTCAGTTGCCTATTCCCAGCTACTCTCCTGCACGACACCTTTTGGTGTGTGTGTGTTTNCAGACACTGCAGCAGCAGCAGCAGCACCGTTGTCCGCTCAGTCAGTGCAGCAGCAGCAGCAGTAGCGACAATCCTTCATTCAGTTTCCTATTCCCAGCTACTCTCCTGCACGACACCTTTTGGTGTGTGTGTGTTTTGTTGTGACAGACACAAGAGCCAAGAGCAGCAGCAGCCTCAACTGCCTCAACTGTCCAAAACAAACCAGGAAGAAAGAGAGACCAAAGACCACTAACTACCTCCAGAAATTCTATCTTCACCATCACCACCATCACCACCAAATCCATTCATGTCTGAGCTGGAGGAGTCCACGCCAAAGAGCAGCAGCAGTGGCAGCAGTCGCGGTAGCCTCTTCACGCCCGAGCAAAGTCGCTCAGAGGAGGACAATGACGTTTCGATGAAGAGCGAGGTGGGGGGAATCAACGGCAAGCAAATTATTACCGTCGGAGGTGGTGGTCAGGTGCCGCTACCACCGGGAGAGTGTTTGCACCGGTGTGTCCACTGCAGTGTCCACCTCCACTGTGATCGTCGTCGATGTCCAGTTTTGGCACAGGCGGCGGCGGTGGCAGCAGCAGCAGCCGCCGCGGCCGCCGCCTCTGTCTTCGAGGACGCCAAAGAGGCGGTGAGCAGCGATGATGGCGACGACGATGATGATGACAAGCTGCTGCTGACCGGCGATGAGACGCCCGAAAGTCCACCGACCAAGAAGAAACCGAGCGAGTGGATCAAGCTGAACGTCGGCGGCACCTGCTTTCAGACCACCCGAACGACGCTCTGCAGCGACCACAACTCCTTCTTCTACCGACTCTGCCAGGAGGACAACTTTCTCAAGTCGGATAAGGTGAGTGGCTTTGTTTGCTTAATTAATGTCTTATCAAGTTTCTAAAACGTCTTCGCCTTCAGGACGAAAATGGCGCCTACCTAATCGACCGCGATCCCTCCTACTTTGCACCCATTCTCAACTTTCTCCGCCACGGCAAGCTGATCCTCAACAAGGGCCTCAACGAGGGCGGCGTCCTTGAAGAGGCAGAGTTCTACAACATCTCGGCGCTGATCAAGTTGCTAAAGCAACGAACCGGCGACCGGCTGAACCAGAACAACACCGACCACAAGAACGTGTACCGCCTGCTACACTGCAGCGAGAGTGAGCTCTCACTGGCCATCTCCACGCTTTCCGACGGCTGGAAGTTCGAACAGCTCATTCCCAACTTTCCCAACTGGTCAACGGACTACTTTGTCGTAGTCTCGCGTGAATATCAAAACCTCAAAAAGTGATCCACCCAAAGCAGCAGCAAACTGACAATTCTAGTGTGTTCAACAGCAACAAGCAAACATGTGACCAAACTCCACCACATCCACCTTCTTCCTCGGGTCAAATCAAACACCACCTCAACTTCTACCAGCTATAGCTTTATTTGAATTTTTTTGTGTTTGTGAGCACAACAAGCTTGATCTATCTTTTTCTTCTTCTCCTTCTCCTCTTTGAAGTCCTTTTGAATATCCTCTTTCTTACCTCTTTTATCCTTCTTTGTTTGTTGTTGTCTCTTTCTCTCCAATTGATTCTCAGATTGATTTTCCCTCTCACTCTTGGTGATCATTTATCAGCCCCTTCAGAGTTTCGTTGGTAAACACCTCCATCTTCTCTACCACCAATTTGAACCATACGTTTGTACTCCCTCTTTATCCTTTTCTCTTTTTTCGCCCGTCTTGACTTTCTTCTTCGCTCGTTTCCTTTTCATGGCATTTAGAAATACTGCTTGTGCATTCTCCTTCTCTCCTTTACCTTCTTCTTTCTACTGTCTTTCTAAACACACACACCTCTTCAACAGCCAAATCACCCTCATCACCAGACAACAACAGTTTGTCTGTCTGTTGTGTTGAAGCTTTTTGCAACAAAGCCGTTTTCTACACTTCTGCATTTTGAAGCGTTTTGTGATACTCGTTACTCTCCTCGTTACCTTCTTCTTCTTCTTACAAAACTGATCACTGCTCTTTTCCTCTTCTCTCCAGACCACCACCACTTTCTGATGATTCTCTATTTATCCTTAAATTTTGCCTCCCATTGTCAACCTCCTCCTTTTCCTCCTTTTCCTTTCTACTTTGACCACTTTACACTATTTTCTGAGTTATTTCTACTTCTACTGTATAGTGTTTTCATGCCATGTATAGTGCAATAAGCTTGTCCAACTGCCTCAGTCCATCAGTAAAAATCACATGGACGTACCCCTTTTTTGCTGAAGAGATGACACGCCTGCAGCTGCTGGCTGTTTTTATTCATACGTACGAAGCCCTATTCACTGTGATGTGAACGGGAATAGAAGGAGAAAGAGATTTACAATGCGAGAAAGAGTTTGCTTGGCTTCTGTTGTGGACGGCAGCTCACTTGACGGGCTTCAAGCGCCAGAGGCCGTCATTGAGAAAGTGGACGTTCTCAATGGCAATTCCTCTGTTGACTTTAGCACTAGGAAAAGTTAGGTGGAAAGTAGGGTTAGTTTAAAGGTAAAAGGCGCTTTTTCCATTCCTTACATTTCATCGACTGACATCTTGAGCAAGCCAACTGAAAGTGCGTTCTGTTTGCCTTCGGCCACTACCGTCACAACCGAGTTAGCTGGCAGGTTGGGCGTCATGATGGCTCCCTTTGAGGTAAGCCCAGGGCACATTATGTTGGCGCCTGAGAGGACAAATGTAATGGCTCCTTTGTCTACCTGCATCAGTGGACAGATGAACGGGTCTGGAAAACAAAAAAGACATGAGAGTGAGAAGATTGAAACGGTGTTGCGGATGATGAGTGTTTATTTACATTTGTGCACTAGCCTAAGTGAAGGCATGTATGGTCCGTCTCGTTGTCTGAAGAAAAGATAGTCACTGCTGGAGTTGATGATCACCTCTACGTGGTCGTGGCTAAAAAAGAATTTATCCGGGTGATATAAACCGTGAGTTTTTGTCTCAAGCACCACCTACCACTTAACAACTCGAAGAGTGTCCTTCTTAGGGATGATCTCGTCGATGTACGCCTCCAGGTTGGGAAAGGACTCCACCAACTTGTTCTTGATGCCCTTCTGGACGCTGGACTTTAGCTGCATGACGCCGGAGACGCTGGAGTCTTCGAATCTGAAAGTAGAAAATCAAGTATAAAAAACTGAACTCCAACAAAACTACCGGGAAAATATACTTTTTAAACATGGTGATGAAGGTGGTGATGGGCGTGCTAAGGTAATGCTGACAGAAGAGAATTATGACTGGAGGGGACACTGAATGAGGGTGACAATATTATGAGTAGATGGAGTTGTGTGTGAGTGAGTGCGGAATGTTTTTGCCACATGCTTTGATCCGGCCTGCAGCAGCACAAGAGAAGAAAAGAGAAGACACTCGTTGGCCGCCGCCGGTGGTGTGCTCTGCGCAGGTGCGCGAGCACGACCACCAAAAAGAAGCAAAAAGGAACTCGGCGGCAATCTAAAATAAAATCAAACTGAAGCTGCTGATGCTGCTGTCAGCAATGTAGGCAAACAAATTGGTTTTCATTGTTTTACAACCCATTAGAATATTTCATTTTTCAATTCACTAAGAAGGAAAATATTCTCAGTGGAATATACCACCATCACCTCTTTAAGTCGAGTTCTCTCTCCTTAATGAGATTGTTATTCCGTGTACTGATGAAATCCAGTGAGAGTGACCAGATGTGACCAGAGCAGAGGCGCTCATCTGTGGCTATCATCTATCAACAGAGAAGGCTAGCAGCCAGCAACATTCAACACATTTGCTGCTGTTGTAAAGAAGAAGTGCCAACCAGGTTTCCGGGAGAGAGGGAGAGAGTGTCTGACACTTTCTCCCTCTCTCCAATCTATATAGCTCGTAAGCCCACTTTGTTGGGTAGGCTGCTGCTGCTGATTAGCTGCAGATGGACAATTTAGCAGTGGTAGCATGGCCACGCAGTATTTTGCCTCGGCAGTATTCCATTGACAGCAGAAGAGAGAGGCAACACACATGACAGCAAAAACAGAGGAAAGAGTATTTTCGAGCACCTTTATTTACTTTCGTCGATCTGCCAAACTGAACTGAAGTGGATCAGATGTGTGCTGATTGATTGAGGTGCAAGAGCAAGGCAATGGTCTCCAGGATGAAGCCTGTTCAGCAACAGCAACACCGAGGCAGCTTTGTGGCACTGAAGCACGAGGACAGCTGGGTCTGTCCGAATGATCGAGAGTTGACTCTGAGGGCCAGGTGAGTTTTACTTGCTAAAATGGCGATTTTTGCATGTTCAATGTCATTTTCACTACAGACTGGAAACGGGATGGTCGGTGAAAAGCAACCAGTTTCAGACGCTCAACTGGAAGCAAGAGAAGGTCAGCGAACAGGAGAAGAAGATGATCATTGAGGTGCTCTCACGGGCGCAGAAGTCCAATGAAATGGAGGAGCGACGCATTAGGTAGTTTTGGATTTTTGAGATATTTCTTGATCTGTTGACCTTAAAACTTTCCTTGGTTGGTTTTTTGCAGCAAAATGGCCGAACGTCTGTCAAACATGAAGCGAAGTGCCCGTGGCAACGGTGAGGGCACCTGCATCCTCTGCAATGAGTCCTTTGGTCTCTTTGGCCTCAAGTCTCATCTCTGCAGGGGCTGCAAGAAGGTTCGTGCAAACTGTTGATAATAGTTCACAGCACCTAATCATCTTTCCCCATTGTTTTTAGCTGGTGTGCAGCAAGTGCGGCGTTGACACCCACACCACAAAGAATGAGACAGTTTGGTACTGCAAGATTTGCTCGGAAAGCAGAGAGGTAGGATGAATTTTTTCATTCAAGCTCTAAATCTGTTACGCTTTTTAGATTGTCAAAAAGTCCGGCTCGTGGTTTCATGCAAGCACTCTCTCTACTCCACCGACCAGCCAACGAGTTTCCTGGTACAGCAAGGCGAAGGCCATTGCAGAAAGAAGCACAACGTCCAAGACTGACCTGTAAGTGAAGATCAGGTAACTCCTTAGATTTTATTAATTATAAGCAAAATACCGAAACTATCTGTTATACCTTTTTTGTTGCTAACAATTTTTGTTAATGTTACCCTATTGCCAAATGTTTAAACGAGAGAATAGAAAAAATATATTTTCAAGTCAAAAATACCGAAGAGAGTGGAAGTCCTTTATTGAAGCAGTAAGTTATTGAAGTACCTTATTCGCTTAAAAAGCTTAAAATAATGAAAGTTTACAAGACATTGGGTTAGATAGGCAAAAAAGAGTATACAAGTTGTGTAAAATATTTCTAAACTATATATGGTAGAGAGTACTGATGAAATGATCGGAAAATCGCATATTTGTACTGAAGTGATGGCGGCAGTGATGAGCAATTGTTTGTGGTGGTGTGGGCAGAAAACTGAAAAGCTAGTGTTTCTCAGTTTTCCATGACCTGTACCTCGAGGTGGCGGTGGCCCATAGTCGAGTGGACTTTCCGCAGGTGACCTTTGAGTACCTTCATCTGCTTGAAGGTTTTCTCGCACAGTGCACATTGGTAGGGCCGCGCGGAGCCGTGCGTCTGCAGGTGCTCCGTCAGTTCGCTCTTCCGCAGAAAGGTCATCGGACAGTGCGTGCAGTGGTGCTGCTTGAAGGCGTTGTGCGTCCGCTGACAGTGGTCCGTCAGGTGGCTGCGGGTGATGAAGGCCTTCGGACAGTGCGAACACTGGTACTCCTTGGCGCCGTTGTGCAGCAAACTGTGCCGGTGGAGGCTGTCCTTTCGGGTGAAGTTCTTCAGACACACCGTGCACTGGTGCTGCTTCTTGTTGTTGCTGCTGTTGTTGTGGTGATGGTTGCTGCTGTTATCTGATGCAGGGGATGGTAAGGCGACGATGGCGGCTGATGTGGACGGAAGGTGATGCTGCTGCTGCTGCATTTGTTGCTGCTGTTGATGGTGGTGGTACTGTGCTGGCAGTGCCGCCAACATAGTATTTGTTCCTACCGTTCCAATCGGCTGGTATAAGGGCAATGAGGACAGATTGGATAAGGGTAGTGCAGAGGGAAAAGCCATATTGTTCTGCTGTTTGACCACTGGGCTGTTGTGGTGGTGGTGCTTCTGCGGGGCACTGGTGGCCACTGAAGATGAGGATGAATGCTGCTGAAGTAGCCGCAGGTGCTGGTACACGTTCTCTGCACACTGGTGGACGTTCAGGTGAAGGTTGGCAGAGGATGTCGATGGAGTAGGTTCTGTGAGGGTGAACGTTACAGATAAATGAACATCACAATGGCAAAGATGGACTTACCATTCTGCACAATGTGCAAACCCGGGTTAGCCCCTCCCTTTAGCTTTAGCACGACACTGCCGCCGTTGTTCTGGATGATCTCGATGCCTCCACCGCCATTTCTCCGGTTCTCCTCCTCGTCCCCTTCTTGATAGTGGCCGTCAGTAGCGTCCATCTGGTGTACCTTGTCCGAATGCTTCACCAGATTACTGTAGCGGATGTAGGCGGTGTCGCACAGCGAACACTGGTAGCCCTTGGCCGTCAGGTGGCCGGGCAGGTGCTCGGTGAGATCGGCCTTCTTGGGAAAGCACTTCAGACAGACGCGACACTGGAAGCGCTTCAGCCCACTGTGCGTCTTCAGGTGCGAGTTGAGGGAGGACTTTTTGGTGAAGGCTTTCGAGCAGATCGAGCACCGGTACTCCATAGCGTGAGCATGGGCGCTCAGGTGCTCGAGGAAGGCGCTCTTCCGGTGGAAGGTTTTGTCGCACTCTTCACAGGTGAACTTGGAGTTGGCGTGAATGCGCTGTTGGTGCTCCTGCAGGTGGTGCTTCAACTTGAAGGTCTGTGAGCACTGGCCGCACTGGAAGGGCACTCCGCAGGGATAACTCTGGTGGCGGTTGAGCTCGATGGGGCTGCTAAAGTGTTTGTCACATCGCTGACACTGCAGTAGCTGCTGCTTCGAGGTATGGTGGTGAGGTGCTGAGGATGATGGCACTAATGAGTAGTTGGCGGCTAGGAATTCTGAATTTCAAAGTGGGGATTAGTGGATTGAAGGTTAAATGCAGTAAACACTTACGATTAGGTGCTATGAACTTGGAGTTGAGGTGATTATTCTGGCCAGTTGCATCGGTTCTCATTCCCATCATCATCATCATCATCCTCAGCAGTAGGTCTTCATTTGTACTCGATTGTTTCTTCTTGAAGGGGACTACCGTTTCAAAAAGTATCGCATGGTTTCACCACATCAACAAACAAACCAAAGTACAGGCGACTCTCTCACTCTCACTCTGCTCTTGTGACACAATGGAGTAGCAACTCTTGGCCACAGGCAGCAGTGGCCTTTTGCTAATCAAAACACACTACTTCGTCGTATTCAGAAGATTCGATGTGATTTAAAACACACACAAGATCTCCTCGATCTCTTCGTTCCAAAGCAAAAAACCCGGTTCATTTGGTATATTCTGATTTTAATAGAGCTTAGGGGTTGCTTGAGAAAGAATGTACATAAAAAGGGTATAATAATAATTGGGGGTAAAGAACGTTGGCACATTGAATACAGAATATATAGTAAGGTCTTTCTTAAATGCGCGCAAAAGAAGTTGTACTTTCTTGTAAGTAAGTCATTAAGATTAAAATAATCATTATAAGAGGGAGGCGTGTAGTGTATATAAAAATATTGTAAAGCTTGTAAATCTCCTCCTCCAGCGCGCACCTCCTCCTCTCTGTTACAAATACTGAACTCTCAGAGGTGCGCGCGTGCAGAGGTGTGCATTAGAATACGGGGTAATAGAAGAAGTATTTGTAGCGTAAAATAGAACTTCAGCGAGGTTTGGCAGTGCAACTATTACTAAACTACTCTCTCTCTCTCTCTCTACTCGGTAGTTTCTCTCAATTTTCTTCCGTTCAGCCTACAGTGTCGCCAATGACCAGGCTGTAGCCAAAGTTCAGCGTCTGGTGGACCTTCTTGAGGTGGTAGCGCAGGTTCTTCATGTGCTTGAAGGTCTTCGCGCAGAGGGCGCACTGAAAGGGTCGTTCGGTGCTGTGCGTCCGCAGGTGCTCCTTCAGGTCGCCATTGCGGAGGAAGGCCATGCTGCAGTGGGTGCAGTGGTGCGTGCGCAGGGCACTGTGCGACCGCTGGTTGTGGTCAATCAGGTGGCTCTTGGTGGTGAAGGCCCGGTGGCAGTGGCTGCACTGGTACTTCTTCGGACCGTAGTGCAGCAGACTGTGCCGCTGAAGGCTGGACTTTAGTTTGAAGTTCTTTGAGCACACTGCACAGTGGTACGGCTTCACCACACTGCTGCTGTTGCTGCTGGTGGCACTCTCTGCGTTGACGGACACCAGAGGTAGGGAGGATGAGGATGAGGAGGTCAACTGNCCACACTGCTGCTGTTGCTGCTGGTGGCACTCTCTGCGTTGACGGACACCAGAGGTAGGGAGGATGAGGATGAGGAGGTCAACTGGTGAAGGGTGGTGGACAGAGACGATGATGATGATGATGGCTGTGGTGGGGGTTGGTGAAGGTGTTGAATTTGCTGAATTTGTGGTGGCTGATGTTGTGGCGGCAAGGGCACAAAGAACTGCAGTGGCAGTGACAGTTGAGGGGGTGCAACAGTCTGGTGGTGCTGCTGGTGGTGATGAGTCTTAGGCTGCACTGAGTTGACCGCCGCAGCGGCCACTGCAGCTGCTATTGAGGATGAGGCCGTCGAGGAGGACA